GCATGAAACAGTGTTTGCCACACTTAAATGTTTCACATCATCAAACAAATGTAAATATTTGACAATAATATGCAGTTTTTAAATAAAGGTTTTAAAATAAAGATCCAAGGAAATTCAGGAGAACTGAGAATCAAAGTAATTGAGATATTTCAGTGTGGAAAAGGTTATGAAGCCATTTTTAAGGCTGTGGGACTCCAGTGAACCACAGTGAGAGCCAAATGGCACAAATGGCAAAAACATGGAACAGCGGTGAAGCTTCCCAGGAGTCTGTTTAAAATTACCCCAAGGATGCAGCGACGACTCATCCAAGAGCTCACAAAAGACCCCCAGAATGCTTTTGTGAGCTCTTGAAAAAAAGAAAGAAAAGAAGACGAATGCTTGGACACTGCTAGCACACAAACGCAATGCAGAGGATGAAGCATCACCAAATATGTTTCCAAACCAGCTTCCTTCCAAAACCCTCCAATGTGGCTGAATTACAACAGTTCTGCAAAGATGTGCAGGCCAAAATTCTTCCCCAGCGCTGTAAAAGACTCATTGCCAGTTATTGCAAACACTTGATTGCAGTTGTTGCTGCTAATGGTCCCAACCAGTTATCAGGTTTAGGGGGCAATTACTTTTTCACACAGGGCCATCATTTTAATTTGTCTGATGCTCTGAAACATTTAAGTCTGACAAACATACAAAATCAGGAAGGGGGCAAACACTTTTTCACACACTGTATAAAAAGGAAATGAAATAAACTACCATTCACATATATATACTGTAGGATTATTGACCACCCAAACACTTCAAACTACACTTTAGATGTTGTGCTAAAAGAGAAGGGAGCCACTGACCTGTACCAGTTAGTGAGGGTCATCATGATGTACAGTGAGGCCAAGAAAAGCATGAAATGAAAAAAGGAGTAGCTGTACTGGACCATGTCCCGCTCATTGTCCTCCACCCGTCTGGGCCCTGTCGACTCCTCTGACAGTTCTGCTGTGCTGCCCCCCTCAGCGAGGATGACTGAATCTTTGGATGCCATAGTTAGCTTGTTGACCTGGCTGTTGCTGGATGAACGAATGCTGGAATCAAAACAGAGATGAAGAAGAAAGAAAAGCAAGTATTAGGATCACAGTATGAAAAAATAACGGACACAAAACACAGTTCACATTAACAAGGAAGGCTTAGAAATGGTTAACCCTTCATCAGGTGAGGAACCATAACTAGTAATTACAACAGTACTCTACACCAATA